TTAAAGGTTTTCCATTTTAGTGTTTGCGGGCTCTTTTTATGAATATGTGCCATGCTTCTCAGTTAAAATCTTTGAATTAGTTGTTGCTAGAAACACTTTCAGTCTTTAATTTGTATGATTCTGCTCTAAAAAATGTGTTCAAAACATTTCTGTTATCTGTGGAAAATCTTTAGGCAGAAAGGTGACATTTTAAACAAACATACAAATATATTGATCTCTCCACAGACTTTTACCAAAGTCCTCAATGTGGCATTAAGATGAACATAAACTGAAATCTCCTTGCCTGTGGTTTTAAAAGGAAGCACAAGTTTGACAAGAATTATGATATAATGATACAGATTATTTATCCTTAAGGATAGCAAATTTGAATATCAATATAGCCAACATTTACTGCCAAACAAGGATCCAGTTAAAAGCTGAATAACTTGTTAATAAACATCTAGTATTAATGGGATGTAGATTCATTATAATGTTTGCAATCAGAGCACAGAATGTCACAAGCATTAGTCAAGACTTTGTAACAATATTGCTGTAATTGGATGGTAATTTGCATCATTTGAATAAGGGAACATTGAATCATAGGAAGGGACAAGAAATATTTTGTCTGCTGACAATAGTAAACAAGAAGCAGCTGACAAAAATGGCAGAATAAGTTTGAGACCATATCAATCACTGAACAAATGAACAAGATCTGGATCAAAATCTGTAAAAATGTTGTTGGAAGACCTACAGCATGTAAGTTAAATAAATGTGGCTCCATGTTGCGGCATGTACTGTTCATTTATAGAAACAACAACTTCAGTCTCCAACATATCTAGCTATTGCACAGCACTGTCAGTGTCCATGACCAGCACCTAGTAAGCAGGGACTATCAATATGGAGCAAGTGAGCTGGGCATTAGGTGCTCAGTGCAAAATTAACAGCATTGGATATTTGTGTTCAGTTGGTGTGTCCTGGGACCAACTATCAGATGGGTTGCAACAGCAGCACTACCACAATACAAATGTATGGTCAACAGATAAGGAATGAGTTCTAAATGCATGCTTGGGTTAAAGGTGATTCCCAGCCCTGAAAAAGTTGAATCTGCTGTTTTAGAGGATATTGAAAGACCTCATCACTCCCAGCTCCTCCTCTCTCTGATCATCTGCTGGATCCAAGTCTTCTCTTTCACTCTGAGTAGACTATTCTTCCTGAAGACACATCTGCTGATAGAGCCTCATGCCAGCCAAATAAGCAATCCTATAGTGACTAGTGACCAAAGGGCCCCATGTACACGAAATTGTACGTGTGCATATGACTTGCAAAATATTGCTTGTTTCCTTTTCATTTAGCTGTTGTACCTTGCTATTTGGGCACATTCATAGTAAAGAGAAGAGCAAAGTGCATGAATATACACTGTCCTGGAAGATGATAGTCCTTGCTTCAAAAAGTGCTTTGTTTGCTTATGTTGTATTGAGCCTTGCTCATACCATTGTTTAGCCCTGGTTGTGCTACTTGTGGATTGGAATTCATACTGGAATCTTTGTTAGGATGTGTATCCCATTGAAAGCAGTGATGTGCTGAAAGGTACTCACATTCAGATCTCTTTCAGCCTCTGTTTCCACCCCCCTCCACTTAGCTTGAGCAAGAATATCGGTCTTGTTTTTGACAACATGTTCTATTCTAACATGGGTTAGCTAACCTTTTTGGACCTGCGGCCACATCTGCAAGCCAGGAGGTGATGGGGCACTAAGAGGACTATGGGAAGTTGCCTTATACGAGTCAGGCCACTGGTCCATCTAGCTCAGTATTGTCTACACCTGAGCTTCATACAGGGGTCTCTCCCAGCCCTACAGGGTGATCTGAAGGACTAAATCAGGGACCTTTTGAACACAGAGCATGTGCTCTACCGCTGAACCACAGCCCTTCCTGAACCAGTGGTGGATTTTCTTAAAGCTGGATAGCTCAGTTGGTTAGAGTGTGGCACTGATAACGCCAAGGTTGCAGGTTCGATCCCTGTAAGGGACAGCTGCATATTCCTGCATTGCAGGGGGTTGGACTAGATGATGGTCAGGGTCCCTTCCAACTCCATGATTCTATGATTCAAGAAGGGCATGGCTGACTAGCTGGAACTTTGAACAGGAACCCGGGGAGTTAAAAATGTGTCTAATCATTGTAGAACCCTTGTAATCTGAACCCAGAATTTTTTTTTGGGGGGGGGATTTCACATCAGAATTGGACAATTACCAAGCATTTTTTCCAACTCCTTTGCACTCTGTAGGTGTAGCACTTTGAGGCAGAAATGAATGGAAGCCTTCCTTTCTGCAACAATGAACTGCAACACACACAAACACATTCATTCTTTGTATACACATTCTTTGTTTGACAATTGTTTTTGTTTGAAGATCACACTTTAATGAAAGGGAGCTGTCCCAAGATAAGTTGTTGAGAAGAAGGGGCAAGAAGGGGCAAAGCAGACTTTGGTTTCATTCTCCTGCACCACAGGGGTTAAATGCAGTTTTATGTGCCAAAGGAAGACACTGGGAGGAAGAAAGCAGTGTTTTAAAAAGTTTCTAAGGGGCTATTCCAAAGTCAATGGAGAGTTTTATTAAAGCTTTTGCTGAAGCGTTTGTCTGCAAGCAGTGATTAAGTCTTCCAAGGGGGGAAAAAGAAAAAGAAAATAAAAGAAAGGACATGTCAGCATTCATCTGTCAGCCTATCTTTGGAACACAGAGACATTTTGTTTCCTTTTCTTCCTCCTTAACTAACAAAGCATTTTAATGGGAATACTTTGAATTAAGGCATTGTATGGGCTTCTTCCATATGTGCTTTTTTTTTAAAGGAGGAAAATAGAAATTGTCTTGTAATTCTCTCTGGATGTGCTTGACAGCAATAGTTGTGTGTGTGTGTGTGTGTGTGTGGTGTTGTTTTTTAAATAAAGCCGGTGTAACAGTTTTTGGAGTTTAGAACAAATTATTTTGTTAACTGTGATGAGTGAAGGGGGCAGCATTGAGAGGGTCGAGAAGGCAGACCTCAATAGCCTGATGGAAATTTTGCCAACCATGGTCTTGGGTGGTCAATGTGGCCACAGAGGTGCTGATAAAGGGGTGCAAGCCTCCCCCCAGAGAAACTGCACGGAGAAGGCTGAGTAATGTGCTGGCACGCTTTTTTGACGGCCAAAGGTGGCTTTGTTAGCTACCCCTTTGTTAGCTACCCCTCAATCTGCTCACAATGCATGGTCCTCTTTTGCCTAGACAGGGTGCCCACTAGTGAGGTGGGCATTAGTTTTTGGTTAGAAGGCCTGTGTTCCAGTATATTAGACTGGCTGCAGAGATTTGTGGTGAGTGCTTTGCTGCATGCCCCTCATGTAGCAGAAATGGCATTGGGTAGGATATAGGTATAAAGAAGCATAAATGCAAAGGAAGCATTACTCCATGTCCCACGAAGTGTGACAGAATTCTGGATTGGAACCCATAGCCTGCAGTGCCCTTTCCAAGCGCAATGTGATCAGGCTACTGAGTCATGCTTTTCAGCGCCTGAATTCCAGCGCCTTGGAATTCATCCAAGATGTTTCCTGGTATCGCTGTGCTAGCTCCCACTGAAGAAAGAATGCAAAATTAGACAGACCCTTTGCCTGATCTAGTAAGATTTTTCTGACATCATTATTTTTAGCCTCCCTATCAATGCATCTAAACGCTTTTATAAGTTGCCTGGTTCATGCGCAGGTTCAGATTGCAGTTTATGGATATTGAAGGGGCAATGCTGAAAACACCATGTTGATGCTCTCTGTTTCAGATTGGTGCTTAATCATATTCTCCTTATTCACCATAGATGTACCTTTTTATTGAAAAAAACATTTCTAAACAGTTCACTATTTTTTAAAAAAACAAACAACTTAAGTATTTGTGTTTTAATCTGTTTTAAGTTTATTGTTATTTTAACTTTTTGAAAGTAAGAAATTATTGTTGTTAATTCGTATTATTTTTTATCATGTTAAAATATATATAATTTTTCAGTTTTTAAGTTTTAAGACAGAAAACCAATGGTACACAAAGATCGCATATACACAACATTTTATCATTTTTATAAACCACTGCAAAGTTGCTGCTTTCTTCATAATCATTTAGGAATAGAGATGGAATCTGTTCTAAATAGATTTAAATAGATTTGATGATTCTGACCTGATCAAGCTTTGCCTGCATCAAACTATTCCTGCACCAGGCACCTTTCATTCTTGTGCATGTTTTCTTTTCTTTTTTAAAAAATCAACTAATTATATGCAAAAATGTGCATATATTATACATATAATACATATAAAAGAGTGAAGCCCATGTAGCACTATACTTTTGTAGCTTAATTGTATAAGTATTAATACCTAAGTATTTTTATGGGGACGCGGGTGGCACTGTGGGTAAAAGCCTCAGCGCCTAGGGCTTGCTGATCGAAAGGTCGGCGGTTCGAATCCCCGTGGCGGGGTGCGCTCCCGTTGCTCGGTCCCAGCTCCTGCCAACCTAGCAGTTCAAAAGCACACCAGTGCAAGTAGATAAATAGGGACCGCTTACTGGCGGGAAGGTAAACGGCGTTTCCATGTGCTGCGCTGGCTCGCCAGAGCAGCGATGTCACGCTGGCCACGTGACCCGGAAGTGTCTCCGGACAGCGCTGGCCCCCGGCCTCTTAAGTGAGATGGGCGCACAACCCTAGAGTCTGTCAAGACTGGCCCGTACGGGCAGGGGTACCTTTACCTTTACCTTTATTTTTATGCAGTTATATGCATTGTTGTCTGATTAACTTCAGGCAACCTGGAGTTCATATGTGTATAATATGTGTATAACATGCAAGTAAATGTGTAGAATAATAATGTATATAATATGCTATTATTATTCACAACTTCTTATTGAGATCAGGAAGCAAGGTGGCAATTAGAGAAAGTAGATGAGGATAAGCTTATCATTGAGATTTTCAGAAATTTCCATCCCCATTCAGTCATCTTCCTAAACTATGATTTTGTTGGCATACTACAGGATGTTTTGAATAACTTGGGCTCCTGTGACCTGGATGAGGATGATCTCATGCTCGACTTGGAATTTCTGGAAGAACAGCATCACAGGCGTTCTGGTAAGCCAGGCTGATGGGCCGCATTTACAACCTGAATATTCCTTTCGAATGAGTGCACTTTTTAGGAAGTGAGTAGTAAAATAATATATATATATTTTTTAAAAAAGAAGGGAGAGTGGATTATATATTTAGCCATTTTATGGTCTGAATAACCTCTAGCAGTTGCTATACAGGATATCATTCTCTTCACTTGAGATACTAATTTCTTGCTTAACCCTATTCATAATGATGCTATTACTGGAGATCAAGCTGTTTTTCTATGGGTCACTTCCATAGGCCAGTTTTCAAATGGTGGACTTACTTACCTTGCAGAAGAAACCCAATTGCTTGGTAATTGGAGACACATTAGTATTCCATATGCTTTTAATGCCTAATGTCTAAAGGTCAGACCTTGAAAAACCATCTTCTTCTTTTTGGTCAACATTATTATGTTGCTAAAAAAATTTTCTAACCAGCTTTTCCACTAATGTTTTTTTAATTGGGGTCATAATATTTGAATTTCTGTTTCCCATTTAATTCTTGTTTTGTAACATTCGCTAAATTTTACCTTCTGTGTGTCGCTTCGGCCATCTCTAGCTCCCAAAATAACATTCACACCCAAGCATGCCAGGAAGCATCTATTCTTATTTGAATGTTGCATTGAGCAATAATCTCCAATAGAAATATTAGTTGTGTCTAATCTCATCCCAGTGGACTGGTTAATGTAGAGCCACCAGCTACCCGTCAAATCCTCAGCAAAATTGCCTCAGGTGGTGTTTGCTGGGCATGCACAACCACACAGTTTGCCTCTGTTTTCTTTCTTTAATGGGTTCTAACAATATTACACCCAGGGTCACATAAACATGTCCGGGAAAAGGTAACATTCCTTTGAGCCCGTAAGAGGGAGAACGGCAAACACAACCCTACCCGTTAGTTCTGTGCAACTCCCTTAGCATCCTTTTTGTCTGGAAGGAGTTGTACAGCGATAATACATGGAGCCTCTTCTGATAGCAGATAATTGTTCTTCATCTCAGCACCATGAGTGATTAAATGCTCCAATCACACACCTGTCACAGAGATGCAGAAGAGGGATCTACTTCAGCCGAGGCAGAACCAGAGTAACAATGCAGCTTGCATTCCATGTCTCTACAGGACCACCTGCTTCCACCTTTATTTATTTTTGAGATTGAATACCCCAGGGTAGTTTTTAGACGCAGGCACACACCATAAAAACAACGTAAAGCACAACTAGGCTGCACAGAACACAAAGAAAAGCATGGCACAGACTCGACAAGGTCTAGGAAAATAACAAGGTTTTAACTCAATGCCGAAAGGTTAAACTTGACTCCAGGTAGGCCCCCTTGATGTTGTGTTTCCCCATCACTTTCCTTATTGCAAATAGGGTGATCTTTTGGCAAAGTGCATTGTACAAAACCACACAATTAACTTTATTTGTGCAACCTGAATTTGCCTGTATGTGATTGATGCCCACCTGAAACTAGTGACAATCTGTGCACTTTTGAAGTGCACAGTTAAGATATAAATGTCAAAAAGTAGAATTCCTTATGCATTAAACTTAAATAGCTATCTCTCTTGCTTTACACCTCACTGAAACTTTCAGCTCAAACAACAGCAAAAACATTTGGCTTGCATTTTGACTGAGTGGAGACTTTGGGACTCCCTCCACCTCCAGTAATAGGGATATTTCGAGAGGGAATTAATTTAAAACTTTGGGAGTGGGGCATGCCATCTGCTGGGGCAGCAACATATCTTTTCCCCCAGCTCTGTCTCCTGTGGTTGTGAAGCTTCTCTTGGCACAGGCTACTTTTGAGATTTCCTGCAAACAGGGCATTGATTTGGTGGGAGGCGAGGATTTGTCTTCAATGATAGGCTGGTCTTGTCCTAACCCCGCCCAACAACTTTTAAATGAATAGCCTGCATTTATGGTCACCTACCTTGCAGGACTTGGGACGTGGGTGGCGCTGTGGGTTAAACCACAGAGCCTAGGACTTGTTGATCAGAAGGTCGGCAGTTCGAATCCCCGTGATGGGGTGAGCTCCCGTTGCTCGGTCCCTGCTCCTGCCAACCTAGCAGTTCGAAAGCACGTCAAAGTGCAAGTAGAGAAATAGGTAGCGCTCCGGTGGGAAGGTAAACGGCGTTTTCATGCGCTGCTCTGGTTCGCCAGAAGTGGCTTAGTCATGCTGGCCACATGATCTGGAAGATGTATGCCGGCTCCCTCGGCCAATAAAGCGAGATGAGCGCCGCAACCCCAGAGTCGGCCATGACTGGACCTAATGGTCAGGGGTCCCTTTACCTTTACCTTTACTTTGCAGGACTACTGTGGAAAATTAACAGTCTATTCTTTGTAAAGTTCTCTGCATGTGGCATGGGGGGAAATGCCACTATGTAGAAGTGCTAAATATTTACTTGTAATCCTTTGGTGCTTCCCACATTCTGTCAATACTGAAATGCTTAAAATTGAGCCTAATATAAAAGACATGATCTGGCTTAGGGAGTGCCTGTTTATTACACCACATAAATTAGAAGATTACATGTTTCAAATGCACGAAAGGAATTGACAGTGTCGTACGGCAGGTTACTGTTTTTATAGGGTGGAAACCCATCAAGTGCTTGTGCATAGAATCCTAGCATTAGTTTAACCTTGTTTCTTCTAGTCCCCCCCTTCCTATTTAAATGTGTCTTGTATAATGCAAAACATTGATTTCTGAACTGTGCCTATGTAAATGAAGAGCTCATACCTCAGTGATGAAAGGAAGGGACCATTCAAACAATTGTGTAAGGGTGGATATCATTTGTACATGGCCAGAACTCAATTACTATGCCCTCAAGTTTGAAAGCAAAAAGCTCTGGGTTCTCCTAATGTGGATTAAAGTAAAATAAAGTTAGCTGCAGTTCAGATCCAACCTAGTTTGCTCTATGTGCCAGGAAAGGTAGGGATAAAAAAAGAATAAAAGACTAGGGTTCTGGAATATGGGGCCTCAGGTACTGCACTAGACCTCCCATCATCCTTGACTATTGACCATGCTAGATGGGGCTGATGGGAACTGGAGTTACTTGGAGAGCCATGAATTCCTCACTCCTGAAACAGATCTACGTGAGGCCTGATCACGGTAGATATTGCCTCTTAATGCACTTAACAAAAAGTAAAAAGAACAAATCTGCCCAGCTCACTGTTTTGTTTTCCAAAATAGTGGTTAGTTCAAAATTAAAGCAAAAGCTTTTGATCTCCAAAAAGGCATGAGAAAGGGGGAAAGGGGAAGGAGGGTTTGCTAGCTGAGGCCCACCACAGCTCTTCTCATAGCAGAAAATAATTATTTCCCACTGTAGCTCAACCTGGCCAGAACCTCTTAAGATGAAAGGGATATGTTCAAAAGGGAAGCTTCTGGGATTCTAAAAATCCCAGGGGGACTCTAAAAATCTCTACTGAATTGCCCAAGGGTTAAATTAAGCTTTAAGTAAAGGGGAATCATTCTTTTTATAGTGCAGTAGATTAGATTGTGTATCCAGCTAAATAAACCCAATTATCTTCTGATCCAGCTCTACCTTTATGCTATCAGATAACAGGGAGGGGGGAATAAAATGAAGCTGTGCATGCAGTCTAATTGATTAAATGCATGTTTTCTAGTCTTGGGCAGCACAACTGAACCCAGTGCAACTACCGTAACTACCAAGTACATGAACACAGAATTGCAGGGCATCCTCACAAGCACTGGAATTGCAGCCAGCTTTGCCTGTGAAATTTGTATATAAACCTTTTAGCACTCTTTGTGGCAATATTAGAAATGACAATAAATAAATAAATAAACATTAAATGAATCTGGGGGTTTCTTGCTTTAAAGTTTAGTGTTGTGCCACTGTCTCCATTTAATAACACAGTATAATGAGCTGGCAGTGTAAAATGCCAGTGAAATAATTAAGGTCTCTGGGTTATTCTTCTGCCAGGTGTTCATATAATAGGTTTCTCCCACTCCTTTAGGCACATGGAAGGACAGAAATGCTGGTTTTAAAAAAAAGGTTTGTGTTGTCCAGCCCAACGAATTCCAGCAATTCCTTATTAACAGATCACTGAGAGATTCATCAAATAAGGGATGCCCTAAACTGGCCTGCTTGGTGGCTCTGAGGACATTATGAAGCACTAAAATTGCATTGCAATTAACTGTTCCTTTCACCTTGCTTTGGACCATATTATTCTGTTCCTGTAGAGGATCAGCTCTTGTTTTGATGGGCTTTCAGTGCTCCTCACTGTGGCCAGCTTTCCTTTTGAGAGAGCCAATGGCTATCAGGGGCAGCTGATCATTCCCCTCAGCTGTGGCTGCTTTATTTCCTGCAAGAGCAGGTGGATGAACAAGAGGCCAGACTGGGCCTAATCTTCATTGCCACCAATAAGGGAAACTGAGTGGTTGTTGCTGTTTTCTTCAATGCTGCTCACTCTCTTCCTGCAGGCTATAGAATGTGTATCATCAGGCAACTTCTGGGTCCCAGTATTCCAGCAGGGTCCACTGCTAATATCTGCTCAGGGCCCACCCTTAAAGCAACATTTTTTCAGTGGGCAACTAAGTCTGGGATCCCTTCTTAAAATTTACCAGAATGCCGTAGAATGATTCTTCATTGGAGTCATAGTGAGAAATTATAATGGTGGCTACATTGGAGGGCTGCTATTGGCACCTGCTGTTTCCATCTCCAGGTAAGCCTGTTGGAGTTGCCAGCTGATGAAGGAGGGTCTCGCCAGAGAACACTTTGCTGAGGGTCCCCTCCACTTTGAACTGGCTCTGTCTGCACTCATCAGAGAGCTGAGCCTGTCTGCAGCCCTACAAGGAGTGCCCCACTTAGCTTTCTTGCTCTACGCTGTATGAGATAGTCGGATGTTGTTGGGAACGTGTAAAAAATAAATAAATAGTTGAGTGATTAAACAGCAAAATAACTCTCCCATGAACTGCAACTGTAGTTTGCACTGCTGCAGAGAGCCACATTAATCACCAAGCAATAACTATCTGGCCTAT